GTAATTCTGTTTCGATGATTGTTGTAGAAGACGATGAAGTCTTCTTCTTTCCCCGTTAAAATAAAACAGATCCGTTTTTGGGCTTTCCTTTGACATTGGCCCATCTTCCTTCTTTCTTGTGTGAGGCCCAATTGTTTTGTCCAGACCCAACTTTGTTTGTCGAAGCCCAAGTCAAATTTAACACAATTAAAAAAAGAAAAGACTTGTAGATACTGGAAAGATTAAGTGACAGCTTATACTGGAAAGATTTTCGTAGATACAAAACAAAATATGAGACAGGATAGTGTTTAAGGGGGAAGAACCTGATGGTATATAACGACAAAATAAGAGAATAACATAAAGACTTTGGCTTAGATAATTACACGTTGTTGTAGATTCAATCTCGTGTGCAAGAACCTTTTTCAATCTCGTGACAGTCTAACAAATTGTTATATTCTTAATTGATCTAGCGGCTCACGTTGTTCTATATTCACAGCTAGCTAAGTTCCCGTGTCGAGAATCCAAATAACATTTTGAGACATTTTGTGATGATGTAGACGTATAACATCAATCATACAAAGTAAATGTTGGACTAGTGGCGAGTGAGAGATTCTCAAAGAATGAATAGTTTGAATTTTTGTTTAGGATAAATTTTGTTTTTCGATGGAGAGACGCACATGTCTCGGCCCTCAAATTCTTCGCTCCTCAAATTAGATTAACCATAACAAAAAGACTATTCATATAAATTGAGGTAGCTGTTACATATAAAGATAGATTAACCATAATCCCTAAAATCTAATAGTAGGATCTGCATAATACACGTAATAATAACTATATTTTTATATGATACAAACTACAAAGTAGAGTAAAATACCTATTGTCGGTAACTAATTTAAACTACATAAAGATAAAAAGATATTCTCTCCGTTTCAAAATGTAAGATGTTTTGGATAAAAGCATAAAATTGCGCCTATCTCAACTATTTCCAGACCTGCGGGCTGACTTTCCCCATCCCCCTCTTTCTGCTCAACATACTCAAGTTCCTCGGACTGGCTTTCCCTCAGATGGTCCTGAGTTTCGTCCGCCGAGTCATCGGGACGTACGTTCGTTCCTATGAAAACGAGATGGACCTCAGTCCCAACCAGTTTTTTGACTTCTACGTCGCCAGGAGCAACTCCTCCATGAGGGGCTCATTCTAAAAGGCGAGGGGTCATCGTCGTTCCCAGCAAATACTCGCTACATGCGTAGAGAACACTTCCTCGGCCTCTCTCACGACCGCAGCGTCCTCCAGGCTATCGCTACTCCGTAGGGGCAACACCGATTGGAAATCTTTTACGCCCCTTCGGGTCAAGATGGCCTTTCGCCGGCACGCCCGGCAGCGCGATCCTCCGGCCAAACCGACCGATGCTCCGGCCGCCGCCATCCCTGCTCGGGCGGTAATCCTACCCGAGGTCTCCTTCAGACCTCCAGCGACTGCTCCCTCGATCAGCCAGCAGTGAACTCGCTCGCGGACTGCCTATACGGGGCCTTCGAGCTCTGCCCAAGTTTCAGGACGGTCCGGCAAAAGGCCGGCTCCGCTGACGATCCCCCTACTGCTGACGACGCTGGCTCCTCCTCGACCATTCCATCGGGAGAGCGTCTGAAGAGGAGGAGAATGACACCAATCGGGGACAGGCCTGCGCCCCCTGCCTTTGGTGGTGGTGACGATTTTGCAATCTCAGCCAGGAGGTCACGAACGATTTTTATCGTGGATCAGGGTCCTCTAAGCATCCAGGAGGTTCCCCAGCCGATCTCCACATCGCGGCTCCCCCTGCTCTGGCCGAACCTTCAGCCGAGAGCCCTTCTCGTGAATCCCCTTCCCCGAGGGATCATATCATTCCCCAGGGGAGGTTGCGGGGACTTCCGCAGTAGGGGAAGGAGGGCTCCACAGGAGCCTGAGCAGCTTTCTGGGCAGCCTGAGCGGCTTTCTCCTCCTACCCCGCAAGAATCTGGCCCTAAATTCTACGAGAGATGGCTCGGGATGACCCGATCTTGGGAAGAGGTAAATGCTTCTCTTTCCCTTTTCAGTCCAGTGCTAGGATTCGCCCTGAACCTACCACCATCGACTCTGACTTGTTATTGTTCTTTTTCTGTTTACTTTGCTTCTAGACCGCTAGTGCCATCAAACGCCCTAGTCTCTGATGCCGAACTGTGGCAGAAGTGGATGACCTAAGGGCCCGGCTGGAGGGGGCGAATCAACGCTTGGCGCGCCTGGAGAGGCGCAACCTGGAGTACGAGCAGAGTGTTCGGTGCCATATCGAGGTGGACAGGAGAGCGGAGCTCAACTTTATGATGCACCTGGTGGCGGCCAATGACCTCATCAGCTTCCTTAAAAGGGAGGTGCACAGAGTGCCTGCATCAAAGGAAGAGGTCATGGCTGCTGCGGTGAAGGAAGCGCGTACGGAAATGGCTGCCAAGTTCGGGGAGGTGCTAGAGGGCGTGAAGGATGAGTTCAGGAGGAAAGAGGCAGAGATCACACCGGAGAATCTGGATTCATGAGA